CAGCTCCCCCAAAAGGAGAGCCCACTGGGCAGGCACCTCCAGGGATGGCCCAGCCACGTTGGGTGCAGGAAGGTGCCGGGAGACACACAGCAGGGCTCCTTGGGGACAGGCAGAGCAGCCCAGAGCCAGAGACTCAGGCCCAGGGACAGGAGCCTGAGGGCAGATGCAGCGCAGGCCTGCAGTGACAAGGAGAGAGGAGGGGCTCAGATGGCCAGGTGGACTGCCGGACAGGTGCTGGGCCTCCCTCTGAACACTCTAGCCTCAAAGGTGGGGACAGGAGTGAAAGATGCCAAGAGGCAGCCGGAGACCTAGGGAGGGACAGAGCCAGCCAGAGACACAGGAGCCGGGGCCCAGAGAAGAGCCACAGAGAACATGGCCAGACCGTGGGCAGGCTCCCCAGGACTATGGGGGCTTGGGCCACACGGGGCGCACACGGTGCTGCAGCCACCCGCAGTGACAGTTCTAGTGCTGACAGAGCTGCTGGCCCAGTGCCCGGCATCGTCCTCCAGCGAAGAATGCCCTTGGCCCCAGAGGCGCTGGGAGGTCACACTGGGTCAGCCCTCCCTGCTGCTCTCTGAAGGTGGGCCAGGTGGACAGACAGGAGGCCAGGAGGGGAGGAGGGTCTCCTCCCTAGAGACGCCCCCCCATCTCCTCTCCCTGTCCCTGTCCCCCCCCCACACACACACACACACACGCCCACTGAGGCCTGTCCTCCAGTTCCCCTTCTGAAGTCCCTGGAGGGCGTTCGCAGGCCACGTAGGTTCACCAGAAGGGAAGAGGGGAAGAAAATCAATAGAGCTGATCAGAAGCTGCATTTAACCCTCGCTGTCGCTCTAGGTACCACGGCAACTGCGGAGTGGACAAGACAGGGGACCACTTCCCACTGGGCCAGAGGTCATGTGACAGGAGCCCAGAGGGCAGGAGACTAAGCCTGAGAGGAAGCCCACCCCCACCCCAGCCAGAAGAGCTCAGAGGGGAAGCAGGTCTGTGGGTCTCCGCATCCCCAAGGCCCTGTCCAAGGCCAGAGGAGGAAGGAGGGGCCGTGACCTGCCACACACACCACCGCGCAGCACTGTGCCAAACACGGCCCAGTGCCCCAGTGACAGTGACCCCGCCACACTCCCAGGCGCACCAGGACCCCGCATCCACTTGCTCAGATGCATACTGAGCACCTCGGTGACAGGCTCAGGGCACAGGGTCTGTGGCACCGAGCAGAAGCACCTGCCGGACCAAGAGCCAAGTACCAAAGAGCCAAGGGGACTTAAGGCAGCCATCGAACCAGGAGGAAAACCACGTGAAGGGAGGCGCAGTCACGAGAACTCTGGGGACAGGGTCCTCAGGCCAGGGGGACATGGCTCGAGGAGCCAGGGACAAGGCATGGGGGCCCAGTAGTGATGGGGGCAGTCTCGGGGGCTGGGCCAGCACAGGCCTTCGGGAAGACTCAAGAGCCTTTAGTCTAAGTGACATGAGTGCCCCTGCACCAAGGGGGGAGTGACGTTTGGACTGGGGGGGTGGAGGATGGCCTGGGGCTTGGACTCAGAGCCGGGGTCCCTGCAGCCCCAGCCACACCAGTCATCCCACACCTAGCCCTCCAGCAAGTACCAGCACAGGGACACAGGGACAGAAGGGCCCCCCCGACCACTTCAGCAAAAAGCCCCACAAGATGCCCCACCCCAGGGCCCCCTTACTGCTCTGCCCTGAGACCTGCCCTCAGAACCACGTGACGAGGCCTCATCCACCTGCACCCCACACACCAGAGCCTCCCAGACGGGAGAGGAAGCCCCCTTCCCACAGGGGGGAACCCTCCTCCCCAACTGCCCCTGCGTCCAGGTGGTTACTAGGTCTCCCTTAGTCCTCGCCTAGCCTGCAGGCCCGAGGCTCGCTCTCATTTCAGTGACCCCCATTCTGTGGAGGAGACAATTGGACAGGGAGGCCGACTGGGCCCACGGTCTGCACCGCCTGAGTGGAGGAGCCCACGTTCAAATGCCCTCGGAACGCGAGCCCGCGCAACCCGGGCATCCTGCCCTCAACCAGCACTCCTGGCCCTGCTGGTCTGCCCGGAGCTGCTCTGGGCACTCTTGGCCGGGAGGCTGGCAGACCGCAGAATGGGGTTTTCAAACTTTTTTATTTATCTTCAAATAGAGAAGGCCTTTGTGTAAGTGAAATCAGGCAGGAGTGACCAGTCCTGAGGCCTGCAAGACCAGGTGGGCCTCCACAGTCCCCTCCATGGCGGGGGCTCTGACCACACCCTGTGGGGGGCCCTGGGCCTCTCTGCTAAGAGTCCAGCCCCACCACTCGGCCGCCCACTTCCCACAGCTGGACATCCTTGGCTCGGCCCGTCTACCTCAGAAACAGGTAGAACAGGGACCTCTGATCCCCATTTGGCAGAGGAAGAAACCGAGTCCAGAGCCAGAGACTCTTGCCCAGTAATGGACCTGCAGAGGGAACCAGGTGTCCTGCTGTTTTTAAGGCAGTGCCCACCTGCAGGACAGAGGTGGCCAGGACCAAGGACAAGAAGGCCCCTGCCTGCCAGCACACTCCTCCTCGGCCGCCAGCCCTCTGGCCAGCTGTGTCCCCTCCAGAGCAAATCTACGAAAGCACCCTGTACCTGGAATAGGCCATCCCCGGCCACCAGAGAGCTGGGAAAGCTTCAGGGGACCACAGGGAGACCCTCTTGCAGAACACCAAGGGCCCTAGTGTGGCAGCTGCAGTGTCACTGGGAGGTCTCCCAGAGGACCACCGCAGCTGCAAAGCCCTGAATGAGCTGGGCAGGGGGACCAGCGCCTGGCGTGCTGGCAAGGCCCGGGGTGCCAGCTTCTCGGCCTGAGCCCCTGGTGTCTATGAGGACTCCTGACCCCAGGCGTTCAGAGGGACTCCGTCTGGACTTGGCATGGGCTGGAATTCCGAGCAGCATGTTATACAGTGCTGCGATGCTGGCTCAGTGGGCATCACAGTCCCCAGCTGCACCCGGTCCTGAGAAGAGGGAGCAGGTTCCGGAACAGCGCTGGGCCCCAGGCCACCCCTCCCCCAGGCAAGGCGGGGCCCCGACTGCAGCCCCACAGAGCAGGCCCAGCCTCCTGCCCAGGCTACATAAATCACCCTTCCAATAATATTTGTATTGATCATCTAGATTGGAAACCCCGGTTGGTCCATTGTCTCACTTCCTCTCCCAGGGCTCACAGATGGGGTCCCTTGGCCTCATCTGCGTTTCTAATGGGACTTTTAAGTGGAACAGCAGCAGCCCGCAAGGCCCCTGTCGCCCTGGGTGTTGGGAGCCTAGAGGATCCATAAATATAGTCCTTAAGTGACGAGGACTAAGTTCAAGAGTCTGTGGCGGGGGAAGAGTGTACAAGGTGCGCAACTCGGAGATGGGCTCCGTGGCCCCACCTGAGTGCGCACGAGGAATGCAGGAGCCCAGGCCCACTGCAGACCCCCACAGGGGACACGGGCATTTGTCAGGACCCCTAGGTGATTCACAGGCTTGTTAACATTAAAGAAGCGCCACTCTAGGCCCAGCCTCCTAGTGTACAGAACAGAAAAGACCCAGAGAAGGCCGAGAGCTTGTCTGAGGTCACACAGCAGGCAAGGCCGCCTGAGCTCCCAGTCAGGCAAAGGAAGTGGGGGGACAGGTGGCTTCAGAGTGACAGGCCAGTCACTTCTGGGCTCCTCTCCCTCCCCAGCTCCTACCTCCTTTTCCAGGGTGTGGACAGATGGTTCAGGCCAGAGTCTGGCCCCCTGTACTCTTCCAGGCTGGAGGGGCCAGCAAGAGCTCCAGGGGCTCCCTGGGAGGGCACCTCCTCCTGCCCGGCCAGCCAGCTGCCCCTTCCTGGCAGCAACTGGACAGAAGATCCCAGGGAAAACCACCACCTGGGTCTGCCCAGCAAAGCCAGGCATCTGCAGAGGGGCCCAGAAAGGCGGCCATCAGAGGGCCCAGGAGATGGGGGCAGAGAAGCTGTGGACAGAGGGAGAGACAGAGATGGACAGAAACAAAGAGAAGAAGGGGCCAGAACCAGGCCAGGAGAGGGGAAAGGGGGGCCAGGAGCCAGTGAGGAGTGGGGGGCCGAGAGCAGGCAGCTGGCCCTAGCAGCAAGAGCCCAGCAGCGGCCCTGCCCAGCCTGGCCCGGCCCAGCCCCCAGTGCCGCCGCAGCTGCCACACTAAGGCCCTACCACGGGGTCAGGCCTGCCCTGGGGCTTGGGGAAAATAAATGGTGTCCAAGATAAAGGGTCCAAGAAATTATTTGTCTTATTGTCATGTCCTGACCGCAATGGGCAGGGTTGCAGGGCGGGGACGGGAGGGGGGCACCATCCCAGAAAGGCCAGAGTGGCAGGCCAGCACTCGGGACCCTGCCCCAGCCACCTGCCTCGGCCACCCACAGCCCCGATCCTGTGGGCCGGGATGCCTCCCAGGACCCAGGCAGGAACCCATGGGGCAGTGCTTTCTAAGAGGGCAAGGACCAGGAGGCGAGGCCCAGCCTGGTGACTTTCGATAAATAACCTGCGGGCCAAGTATGCCTTCAGCGACTGTCCCTGATGCACCCCTCAGGGCGGCTGAGGTCTTGTGGGTGCGGCTTGAGCATGGGGGGGTGGCTGAGGGCGCCCAAACTCCCCAGAGGGGGACGAGGCCCTCCCAGGGTCAAGGGCAGGTCAGGGAGACCACATCCCACGTCCATGAGCGACCACACACTCAAGCTTGAAAGCCACATGCACCAGCACCGCGCACGCGCCAGACTGGTCCCCCCCAATGCAGTGCATCCAGAGCGACCCGGAGGCCGGAGGCCTGCGCCTGGGGCTGAGCAGGGCACACAAGGTGGCCACCTGCTGCAGGGCCTGCAGGGCCGCCGGTGCCCCCAACCACCGCAGCTCTCCGGGGCGCTCCCAGCCACAGCACCTCTGTTACCACGTTCAGCTAGGACCGCGGATCCTGGGGTCGCCACACCAGGGGACCAAGGCTCAGGGTGAGGCCCAGGACGAGGCCTCCGGGGGCAGCGGCGGGCACCTACCATACTTGTCGCCGTCCTCGCCACGCGCGCTGATCCTGCGGCCCAGCACCTGGATGTGCTTGCCGCTCGTCCTGCTGTAGAGCTGGTACAGCCGCAGCTGCTTACGGCTCACGTCGTCCCGGGCCCGCGTCTGGTTCTCCACGTGGATGCGGAAGTCCACGTTCTCCTCGGCCACCAGCACCTGCGGAGGACGGGGACAGGGTGAAGGCCATGGCCACCCTGCTCCACAGAGCTGAGGGCCCCGGTGGCCCAGCCAAGAAGCAGCCGAGAACCAGCCTCGGTGGACGGTGGATGGCGGACGCCGCCCCACAGCCCTGCAGGGAAGCAGGAAGCCCCGTTCGCCCTGTGGCCAGCTCCTCCTCAGAACAGTGGCACCAGCGCCCCACCCCAGGACATGGCAGGATGCCGTGAGGACACGGAGAGCCAACGGGAAGAAAAAGACCTCATCCACCAGACGGAGCGGGGAGAGGGGGACGGGCAGAGAGCCGCTGGGGGAGGCCTGGCAAGTCTCCATCTGGGAACCGATGGGCCAGAGGCCACCGCCATGCTGAGGCTCCTCCCCACCCCTGTGACCCTCCCACTAATTCACACCCCAACCTCAGGCCCTTCTTGGAGAACCCTCCATTTCATATCACCCATCAAAGTTCCCTTTATCACCTGGGCTTAGCTCGGATCTGCCCACCTCCTCCAAGAAGCCTTCTCTGGTTGCACCAACACCCAACTCTCCAATCTCCCATCCCAGACATGGCCTCTCATCAGGATAATGGGCACCTACTTCCTCATGGCCTCTTGCTAATCTGGTCCACTCCAGCCACCTGTTAATCCATCCTGCACCAAACCTGGTCCTCGTAGACCCCTCCCTGGCACACTCCCCATGCTTTGCCATCTTCTACTGCTCCCTTCCTACCAGCTACCCTGGCTCCTGCCTCAGGGCCTTTGTACTTGCTCTTTCCTCTGTTCCCCTGGTTTTTCCCTGCCCTCTCCACTCCAGGTCCTTACTTCACCTGCATCTCTGCTCAAAAAGGCCTTTCTGGACCGCCCTTCTGAGGCGACCTCCAACTCAGCCCTGACCCCTGATGTTCTGTGTTCCTCTGTAGCACTTATCAACCTGACATACCATCTCCCAGTCTGGTTTTTGTCTATCTGCCCCCAATGGACTGGGGCACCATGAAAGCTGAAGCTATCTAGCTGTGTCCTCCTTGTACGCTGCTTTTCCCCAGCACCGAGGACAGTGGACACCCACACACACGGTAGATGGATGGGTGGATGGGTAGGTGGACAGGTGAATGCTGACAAGACTCGGAGTCCTGCCGTGTCACTTATCATGACATTAAGTTTTCCCACGACCCATCCCACCTTAACCATAAAGCTGAGCAGGTCCTGAAGCCTGGCACGCAGGCAGTCACGTGTCTGGCACAACGTGAGACACAGGGGACCCTGTTCCCAGGATGCCCCACCCATACCGCAGCTCTAGCTAGACCTGCCTGCAGCTGACACCCACCCTGATGCTCAGGGACAGTAAGGGCACATGTCCCAAGACACCTCCATGCATGGACTTCAACCCTCCTGGAATGACTTCCGGGAGTGGCCTGGCCCTGTCCCCTCCCCCAAGGGTAGACGCCAGCATCCCCCGCCCACCGACCCCCACTCACAGGAGGCCCTATCGACCAGAGGTCAAACCAATCTCCTCACCCCGGGCCCCCAAGGGGCACTCCCTGCCCCAGAAGCTGGCCTCCCATTAACGATTTTCTCCCTGGCCCACTGGACAGAGGCAGCGTGGGTGACCCAGGGTCAGCAGAGGCTGGAGGGTGACCCTTCCACAGGATGTGGGGTGAGCAATCCATCTTGCCCAGCTTCCGTGATTTAAGCCATACCCTGAGGCCTGATCAGTCCCGGGGTAGGGAGTGGGGGTGGCCTCTCCAGGCCCTGGGCAAAGCCTCTGGTGGGCTCAGGGCTGCCAGTGTCCTTCAACCTGGCTGTCACCTGCCCCAGGCACCTGCCTGGCCCCCACCTCCAAGGCTGGGAGGGTCTCCGCACATGCAGCTGTCCCCGAGTCAAGCTCATCGGGTCATCCCTAGGTCTCCACTCCACCTCCAGCAGGCCATCAGCAAATGCTTGCAAATGTGGCCCAAAATGGGGGATACCTGGAGGTCAGTAATGACCCTACTTCTTACCACCCAGACAAGCAGATCCCACAGGACGATGGTGGGGGGAGTTCTTTTTTTTTCCCCTTTATTTTATCTATTTGTTTGTTTATTTATTTTGGTGCCAGGGGTTGAACACAGGGGTACTTACCCACTGAGCCACACCCCCAGCCCTTTTTATTTTATTATTTTGTGTGTGTGTGATGCGAGGCAAGCACTCTACCAACCGAGCTCTAACCCAAGCCCCTTACTTTTTCTTTTGAGACAGGGTCTCACTAAGTTTCTTAGAGCCTTGCTAAGTGCTAAGCCTGGCCTCGAACTTGCGATCCTCCTGCCTCAGCCTCCTGAGCCACTGGGATTGCAAGGGCTGTTTTAAGCTGTGGAGAGCCCTGCTGTCCTCTGCTCCAGGCACTCTGCTGAGAGTGGATATGCTTTCTTCTACCTGCCCTGACCACCCCAGCAGCTGAGTCCTCTTCACAGATGGGACCTCAGGCCTCTGCCCAGAGCCACAGGGCTAGGTGGGTGAGCAGAGCCCGAGGCTCTGCCTCCAGAGCACAGGCATGCAGGGCTGCCAGGCCCCATGGCCCCTTTCCCTGTCCACTAGTTGGGTGACAGGTCACTTGGCCTTAGTGCCTGAGCGGGAACCCAGTCAGGGCCTTCCAAGGACAGTCAGACCTGCTGTCTGTCCACTCACACCCTTCAGGGGACAGAGTCACCAGAGGGGCCCTGAAAAGCCGCAGGACAAACACAGTCCCAGCCCCATAGCTCCTTCAAAGTGGACGGAAGGGCCTCGCAGCCCATCTCGCCCCCACCTCGCCCCCGTCCACGCGTGGATCGTGTTTTCGGTGGAAGTAGCTTTTCCCACTGGGGAGGCTGACCTAGAGTCCCCTGGCAGCCTAAGACCCCAACTTCACCCCCTGCCCTTTCCCCAGTCTGAGGTTTCAATGGGGTGGAAATGTCCCCTCCCTAGCCCAGGAACTGCACAGAGGCAACAGGGCCAAGCCTGCCAGAACCAGGGGACAGAGGCACCCCCTGGGCCTGGGGACCCAACCCACCTGGCCGCAGTCTCATGCTTGTCTCACGTGGCCCAGAGCACGCAGGAAGACAGTGTCCCTGCCCGAGCCCTGCCCTGGCTCCCAACTCCTGCAGGACAACGTCCAGGTGGCCTTAAAATCCAGCTCTGCCCTAGGCAGGCTGTGGGCCCCTCTGAGGTACAAGAGATCTGGCCATCTTGTGGGGATTGCTATGGTGTCCATCCCACTGGGGCGTCCGACGCCACCAGAGCTCCCTCTGGCCTGAAGCCTTCACCCTCCACTCTGAAAAGCACACTCGTGGCTTCTTCCTACGTCTTCCCAGGCCACGTTGCCACCGGCCACCAGCCCGCGCCCCATCCACACACGGCAAAATCACACTCCACACCAGGAGTGGGGCCAGCCCCGGGCTGCCCAGGTCCACCCCAGTCTCCTTAACCCTCAGTTTCCCATCCGCAAAATAGAGTTTGTTTGTAATATTTACCTCAGAGAAAAATGGTGTAAGTGAACAGCAACCACATTTCTCTGTCTTTTAAATGGTCGTGACGTGCAGAGCTGTGACTGAATCACCCTACAATCGCCCCAGCAGCCCCGGGAGGTGGCTTGCTTACTATCCTCGTTTAACAGATGGAGACTATGAGACTCCGGGAGGTTATATCGCTTGTCCTAAGTCATAGAACTGGGGAGGGGACCACCTTCCCCTCTGTCCACCACTTTGACTCACCTGCGGCCACCCTCCCTCAGGCGCTTCACTCCCCACCTCCTCTGCCACGTCAGTGCTCCCTGCTTCTCCTGGATTCCACTGTCCATAGCTACCCTTGTAAACCAAGGACCAAAAATATTAAATGGGAAATTCCAGAAATAAGCTATTTGTAAGTTTTACATTTGGTGGCATTTTGAGTAGCATAACAAAACCTCATGCCGCCCCCATATCCAGCGTATCCACACTATATACACTACCCACCAGGTAGCCACTCCACAGCTGTCTCAGCCATCAGGGCAACTGATCCAGTGTATCCACACTGTATACGCTACCCACCAGGTAGCCATCCACAGCTGTCTCAGCCATCAGGGCAACTGATCCAGCGTATCCACACTATATACACTACCCACCAGGTAGCCACTCCACTGCTGCCTCAGCCATCAGGGCAACTGTCTCGGGACAACAATGCTTGTTTGGTACTGTCCTCCACCTGGGGCATCCACTGGGGATCTTAGGACATATTCTCAAGGATGAGGGAGGAGTGACTGCATTCCAGGACAGTGGCTGGCTCAGAACACAAGCCATAGTTGAGGGGTGAGGGATATTGTCTGTGAAACGGCTGAAGACCATGAACTCCTCTTCTCAAGCAAGGAGGACGGGGTCCCACTGCTGTCTCCCACTCCAGCTCCCGATTGTTGAGGTCTTCTGTAGTCCCTGCCCCTGTCTCCGGGCAGCCTGTCCAGAAGGGGTGGTCTCCCTGGCCCCAGGTAGGCAGCCACAGACTTCTGGCCACATTCCCCCAGCAGCAAAAGGTCAGTCTCCCCAGGACTTTCTGGATTCAAACCTGGTCCCTGGTAAGGTTGGCCCCCTCTCTACTCCCAAAGGCAGCTCCTAAAACTCTTCCTCGAGAGCAGCCTGGACTCTGGCCAGGGGCCGCTGCCAGCCATGGCACCCTCCTGATCACTGTTGTTGAGAGCAACCCTCACGTTGGCTCCTACTTCTTGGGCATCTGCTCTATGCCAGGGCCCAGGATGCCCATTTGCCAGGCACTGTCCTTACTGCCCACGTGACCAGAGCAGGTCACAATGATGACTGTCCCTGTGCTGTAGGTAACCCAGGGAGACACAGAGCAGTAGAGAAAGCGGCTGAGCCAAGATCTGAGTCCCTGTCTGCTCTGCAGCCCACAGGGTCCCCGCAGCAGGACGCAGAGGGGGGACCACCAGCCCTGGGCCTAGCTGGACTCAGATGGGCAGCCCCACCCTCAGCCCAAGTGTCTGGTTCCCTCCTGTCACACTCCCCATGC